GGGGGGGGGGGGGGGGAAAGAGAGAGAAGATGATTTGACATACATGGAAGTATGGGATTTTCAAGCTTGGTTACATGCTAAATAATATAGAGGTGGCAATGCCACACAAATCCTCCATTTTCTTTTTTTTTTTTAAAAAACAAACTTATTTGCCGAAAATGGGCTTAAGGAAAGGAGTAGTGTAATAATTTGAGCCCATTCTTGTTTTGTTCGAAAACATGTAGCCCATAAAGAAAAATTATCGGCCCATTGGGCCCTTAAGCGTATTCACGGCCCCATTTGTATAAAAGAATGGGTTTTATGGCCCATTAAGGTCCATTAAAGGTAAACTAGTCCATTTTAGGCTTATAGCCCAAAAAGGTTAAGTCTCATGAAAGTGAGTCCAATGAGAGCCCATTTAAGAGTTCTAAGCCCAAAATAGTCACATTGGAAGTTTATTGGCCGATTAGGCCCAATAAAAAAATCCTAGTCCATAATGGACTTAAACCGGGATCTCTAGGGTTTCCAATCTTTTGTTGACTATTTGAAGAGTTGTATAGAGTGTTTGATGGAATTTTGTTGTCATTGATTAAGCATCATACATGCTTTCAAGTTTTAGTTACAATGTTATCCTTGTTTAATGTTTACAGAGCATTAGAATTCCTAGTTGTGACATACTCTGACTTGGCTTTTGGTTGACTGTTTTTCATAATGTCGTGACACGTGTCTTACTTTTATTGGTTCTTAAATGTTTTAAATTCCTTGTAATTTTTGGGACGTTACAGTTTGTAGCCCATTAAAATTTAGGAGACCGTATATTGTTTTTGGCCCAATTTAATTATATGCTTTATTTAAGCCTATTTTGGAGAAAATATGGCAGCCCAAAATAAGCCACTTAACAAGCCAAAATAATCGAATTTAGCAGCCCGTTATCAATTCCAATATCTGTTCGGCCCACGCACAAATCGTGCAGCCTGAAGTCCTGAACACCAGTTAGGGCCTAGCGGCGCCAAGGTTCCTGCTACAGTAGAAGAAAATGCTAGAACCCTAATTATTTTGTCTGTACCCTAGCGGCGCCATGCACAGGGAGTGCCTAGGGGTGCCAAGACTTGTCAGTATGGTATTCTTGGTCTTATATAACTCTCGTCTCTTCTACTTGCAGGATGATCATCACTCATATTCTACACCGCCAGGAGATGGACAAGTTGAACTTGCAAGATCTCTTCTTCCTGTGGTGCTTCGTCAATGGCCGACCGTTGAACCTACCGCGGGTCCTCACACTTCAGTTTTGCCGCTGTGGCGCACTAGCTCGTCCTTCCAGTCCCATACTCAGCGGCCATATCATCACGGTGCTTGCTCATTATTACGGGATAGACCTTTCGGGTCTTCACTCTGAGTTGATTGAGAAGTAGGATGGTCCTCATGATGCATTAGCACATCTGGCTTTGCCTTCAATAACTTTATCTGCATAGACAAAAGCTTGCAGTTTAAGCAGTCATGTCTATGAGAAGTTCAAGAACTTCCTGCTCCCTTGGGCACAAGCTCCTTATAGCCGCAGTTTTGCTCACCCTATATACCAAACAATCACAAATGTATTTATAGGTAGCCTAGAAAATGAATTAACATTTTAACATACATATATGGTGCATTTGTATAATACACCCCCATCTTTTTTTCATGTAGTATAGTAGCCTTGACCACAACGACACCACCAAGTATGAAAATATCTACACCACCAACCTGAATGTAACATCCGGATTCCCAGGTATCTTATTTTAAGTATTTATCTTGAGTTTTAGGGAGGGACTCGGCGAGTAGGGGCTCAGA